AAGTGGCTTTGAACACATGTAAAATTCACTAAACATCCAATATCTTGGTAACATCTTTATATAATTAGGCAGAATCTAAATCTGTTTTAAACACGTTTAATGCTCTTAAAAAGAATTAAAAAAAAAAATTTATATTTAGAATATATATATATATATATATATATATATATATATATATATATATATATATATATATATATATATATATATATATATATATATATATATTTAATTTGCATTCACTCCCAACAAGGCTGCAAGCAACCACTATTAAGTTGGGAGTTACTAGGAAAAAAAAGAACAGAGTTATATAGCAAGGAAACGGTTGACAGAAGACTTGAAAAGTTGAAGGTTGTATGAGTCAGGAAAACATGAAGATAGGAGAGAGTTCCAAAGGATTGAAGTGCGGGGAAAAAAACTAGATGAATAAAAGTTTTTAGAGCATGCAGGGACAGATACAGTAAACGAATGAGACTTAGCTGAATGGCGAGTAAAACGAGAATGAATTTTAGTTGATGGAACTAGAGATAATAACTCCTTTGAGCAGTGACCATGATAGTATTTGTAGAAAAGAGAAAGAGATGCAACTTTACGACGATGGGAAAGAGGTTCAAGCTTAGCAGATAGTCCAGGTCCAACAACATTTACAATGCATTTTTGGACCTTGTCAAGAAGAGAAAGTGAATCGTTAGAAGAACCAGCCCAAATATGACAACAGTATTCCATACAGGGACGAGTAAGAGATTTGTAGAGGTAGAGAATGGAATCAGAAGTAAGGAAATGGCGAGCACAACAAAGAGAAGCAACCTTGGCAGAAGTTAATTTAGCAATCGATTGTATATATGGTTTCCATGAAAGGTCAGTAGTAAGCGATAATCCAAGAAGACATAAAGAGGAGGACTCAGTAAGAGGATTGCCATTCATTAATATAGGAATGTTGCCCATATTACGGTAGTTGTTTGCAGTAAGCAACTGGTTTTTTTTAGAGTTGAAGTTCACAAGCCACTGTGAACCCCAATCTATTACTGAAGTGAGATCGGATTCAAGATCAGCTGCTTGTTCTAGGTGATCGAAAAGAGAAGACTTTTTGTCAAGACAGGAGTATAAAGTAGAGTCATCAGCAAAAAGAGCTACTTTAGATGAAAGGTTGTCAGGAAGGTCGTTTATGTAGATAAGAAACAAAACAGGGCCTAGGATGGAACCTTGGGGAATTCCAGAAGTTACTGGAAATAAAGAAAAGTATTGGCCTTTAAGGATGACTTTAATAAACCGTTTAGAAAGAAATGATTTGATAATCTCAAAAACTTTCCCAGAAACACCATATGAAGCAAGCTTATGGAGAAGACCAGCATGCCAAACTTTGTTGAAAGTTTTAGATATATCGAGAGCAATAGCCCTAGCCTCACCGCCTTTATCTAATGCACAATAAAATCTTTCAATTACAGCAGTTAGCAAGTCAGCCGTAGAACGAGAGGATCAAAAACCGTATTGGTTGTCTGACAGTAGTTTATTTGACTCAAGATGAGATGTGAGGAATTTGTTGATCAAAGACTCAAAGACCTTGCTAATAACAGAAAGAAGACTGATCGGACGATAATTGGAGGGGTCTGAATTTTCTCCAGAGTTTTTGAATATTGGAACCACAGATGCTATTTTCCAACAAGCAGGAAAACAAGACTCAGTCAAACACTTGTTAAATAGTTTAGAGAGAATTGAAGAAAGTTCTGGAGAACAATTCTGCAAGTCTGTGACAGTAATGTTGTCTGGACCACAAGCTGTAGACGAGTTTAATTGAGATATGACTTTAGCAACAGAAGCCGAAGTGATTTAAATGTCTAACAATGGGTCAACCTGTTTGACTGGAATGGAAGGAAGAGAATGTCCATAAGATTCAAGAGTGGAATTAGAAGAAAAGTTCTTTGCAAATAGTTCTGCCTTATCTTTGGGAGAGGTAATAAGATCAGTCCCATGAATGAGAGATGGAATGTTAGATCTACCCTTGTTAATAATGCTGTTAAAGATTTTCCAAAAGTCTTTAGAGCCTAACTTCTGCGATAAGGTGCGAGATTTAGTGAACTGAGAATAATGGAGTTTAGCATCAGAAAGCACCTTTTTACATCGATTTCTTGCAATAATAAATAGCCGTTTGTTCTCAAGAGAGTTGTTCTTTTGAAAAAGATGAAAAAATGATTACGATTGGATATAGCAGCCACACAAGAAGGAGAAAACTATGGAGTAGAATGAGGCTTGACTTGAAACCGACGAGAAGGAATAAAAGCTTCCATTCCAGCCTGAATCCAGGAGGTTACGTAGATTTATAGAGATCATTGCATGGTCAGAACCACCTAAGAAAGAAAAGGGAGAAACTGAACATAAGCTAGGGTCAGAAACAAGACATAAGTCAAGGAGTGAAGGTAAATGATTAGGGTTGTCAGGAAAATGAGTCACAAAGTTAACTATCTGAGTAAGAGATTGACAAACGCAGAAGTTAAAGGCTTTTGTGCCAGCAGGATCAGTGGTGTTAGAGCCAAGCCATTCAGTGTGATGGGCATTAAAATCACCAACAACAACAATATTTGCAGAGGGGTAAAGAGAGAGGGCATGGTCAATTTGATCAGAGATAACATCTAAGAGAGTGCAATCATGGGAAGAAGGAGAACAAAGATAAAGAACAAAGAGAAAGGTGATAGAGTGAAGAGGTGCTAGGCGAAAGCACATATATAGCACATATATATATATATATATATATATATATATATATATATATATATATATATATATATATATATATATATATATATATATTATATATATATATTTATATATATATATATATATATATATATATATATATATATATATATATATATATATATATATATATATATATATATATATATATATATATATATATATATATATATATATATATATATATAATTAAGAATTTATATATGAAAGAAATAAAAAAAGAGATGCAGCATTTCTATAAAAAACTCTAAACATTATTGGAATTGATGTAACCAATTCAAGCAGCTCCAATATTAGTTTTGCTATTGAAGAGTTACTAAACAAGATCTGCATTAACATTCTTATAAAGATCTTTGCTGACTCATGCCATCCTTAAACCACTAAATTAGTTTACACCAACATCAGAAAGCCAAACAGATTCTTGTTTGAACTGAATACTGCAAAGACCACCACCTATCAACAATCTTTTACTAAAAAATATCTACATATTCTTTGTGATGGTGTTAGCCAGGGTTGGCAAAAACCCGGGTTTTTTTAAAAAAACCCGGCCCAGTGGGTTTTTTTTGGGTTTTATTGGGTTTTATTGGGTAAATTTGGGTTTTTTTGGGTATAATTTTTATTTTGTCTCTGTAAAAAAAATTTTTGTGTTTTTGTTTATTGATATTGAAAATTAGTTTTTTTCTACTTTAACTTTATTTAAAATATATTTAATATATTGTTGTTTAATTATTTATAACAAGAATTTTTTAAATTATTTTGAAAAAGATTTTTAAATATAATTTAAAACTGTAATAGGAAAAAAAAATTTCACACTTAATCTATATGTATTGATTTATTTTAAATTTAAAAGTATTATTTTATATAATTAAAAATGTCAATGAGAAAATGTGAAAAAGAAGGCTTGAGAATGGGAGGTAGTAACTGAAGTTTCAATTAAACTTTGAACTTGAAATTCAAATGAACAAACTTGTTCCTCTGCGCAGCGGCCTTGTTTATAAAGATTCGTGTTTAGGAGTTAAAGAGTTTTTTTTCTTCTTTAAATCAATTCACCTCCTCAAAGCTTATGGTCACTACAGGCGAGGAGGCTACTTATTTGTGGTTATAACCCTCTCTCAACTCTATAACTCCGAAACATGAACCTTGACGAACAAGGCCGCTGCGCGGAGAAAGGAGTTGAGCGCGGTACTGCCAGGGACGTGGTGGGGATCAAACTCGGAACCTCTCACTTATGAAGTGAGCGCTCTACCACAACACCACTACCGCAAAAGAGTTGAGAGAGGGTTGTAACCACAACAAGGTAGCCTCCTTGACTGTTGTGTTGGCTTCTCTGGTCACTACTACTCATTTAAATTCAACTTGGGAGGTGAACAACATTATGTAATAAAAATCTCAATCGATAAAAATATTTGAATAAAAATTGTGATAATGTATTTCCAAATAATGATTCAAATAATAGTAAACCTGCTCTGATAGCTGTTATTGTTGGTTATAATAGTTAATAATAATAGTTAATAATAATTAAGTTAATAAAAATAGTTAATAATTATTTTAGTAAATAATATTATAGTTATAATGTTAAAGTTGGTTATAATAGTTCATAAACTTATTGAATATCTTTAAAAAAACCCAATAAAACCCAGATTTTCCAGGGTTTTATTGGGTTTTTTTAGGCGGGTTTTTTTGGGTTTTATTGGGCGGGTTTTTTAATGCCAACCCTGGTGTTAGCCAACCTCTACCTGCCACGAAACATTAGGACACGAAACATTAGGACACGAAACATTAACCTCTACCTGCCACGAAACATTAGGAGTTCCAATGCCTTTTTCTTACATAAATAATGTTTGCATGCATTTTTGGTAATCTTCTTTTTAGTATTTTATGATGAATAAAATTGTACGATTCGTTACTTGTAAATTCATTACTTGTAATTTGCTATTTAATTTTAAATAAAGATTTATAATAAAAAAAAAAAAATATAAACATACATACATACATACATACATACATACATACATACATACATACATACATACATACATACATACATACATACATACATACATATGTACATACATACATACTAGGTGCTTATAATACTTAAATTAATTTCAAGTTTCTCTAAGTTTTTCAACCAAATAATAGCTTGAAATGTTGAATTCATAGTCACTTTATACCACTTGTGATATACTTAAATAGGAATGTATGGAATTATATATTTATATATTGTATATATGTATTTATGTTCTTAGGATGCCAAGAAACTTATTCTTGAAGAAGTTGGAACTTTTCGTACTCAGTATGTAAGTATCTCATTTATAAAATGTTTATTGCCATAAGGTTTAAGTTGAGCAATTTTTTTGGTTTTTTCATTAATGAATTTGTCTACCGGAAAAAATGTTATTGCAACTTTGATGTTAAATAAAAACAATCAAATATTAGTGTAGCTTTATTTTATAGCCGTACTCAAAAAATTTAATTTATTTAAAATTAAGTTTTTATAGTTTAATTATTATTAAAAAAAGTGTATAATATATATATATATATATATATATATATATTTATATATACATATATATGTATATATATATATATGTATATATGTATATATATATATATATATATATATATATATATATATATATATATATATATATATATATATATATATATATATATATATATAAACACACACACACACACACACACACACACACACACACACACACACACACACACACACACTTTAGGGTGGTTCTAAATTTACAAGTTTTGAAAACATAACGGAAACCAGTCTTAAATTATTCCATTATAGAAAAAAGCCATCAGTATTAAATATTAATGATTTTGAATAACATTTAAGGGTAGCTCATTAGACCTTAATTTCTCTATATTTACTCCATATTATGTCATTATTGATTTTATTAATTGATCCCATAACTCCTATTCTTCCATACTCCTTTTGTGCTAGGAGAAAATTACGGTCTTTTTCATTTCTAATTTCAGTAAGAGCATTTGCACTTGCAACATCAAACAGATTTTTCAGATATTTCTTTCACAGTTTATGGTTTAGATTGTCTAAATCAATTTTTCTTGAGGAAAGCATATTGCTGGTAAAATTT